ACTCCCTGGAAAAGACCCTGATGTTGGGAAAGATGGAGGGCACAAGGAGAAGGGGACAACAGAGGATGAGATGGTTGGACAGTGTTCTCGAAGCTACAAACATGAGTTTGACCAAACTGCGGGAGCAGTATAATACTACTGCTACTACTACTACTACTACTACTACTAATAGACACAAATGACAGTTTCCAGGAGTCTGCTTTGGGGTGTGGTAAAGGTAAAGGTAAAGGGACCCCTGACCGTTAGGTCCAGTCGTGACCGACTCTGGGGTTGTGGCGCTCATCTCGCTTTATTGGCCAAGGGAGCCGGCGTATAGCTTCTGGGTCATGTGGCCAGCATGACTAAGCCGCTTCTGGCGAACCAGAGCTGTGCACGGAAACACTGTTTACCTTCCCGCCAGAGCGATACCTATTTATCTACTTGCACTTTGACGTGCTTTCGAACTGCTAGATTGGCAGGAGCAGGGACTGAGCTCACCCCGTGGCGGGGATTCAAACCACCGACCTTCTGATCAGCAAGTCCTAGGCTCTGTGGTTTAACCCACAGCACCACCCGTGTCCCATTTGGGGTGTGGTAAACTGGTATAAAACTCTCTCTCTCTCTCTCTCTCTCTCTCTATATAGTATATAGGCCATTATGCCATCCTCTGAGATAGCACCCTTGTGAGCTTTGCATGCAGAAGGTCCCAAATTGAACCCCTGGCTTCTCCAGATAGGGCTGGACCAGTCAGAGTGGACTATAATGAGCTAGAAATTCCAGTAGCCTGACTCTTACACGAAGCATTGATCTTGATGACGATGGCAGTTTGATTCTTCACTTTCTTAATCTGCCTTTAGAGCAATACCTAATGCTCTTACTCAACCCATTTCTTCTCAGTCCACCAGCTTATCTGATGGAGATCAAAGTGTTGCTTCGTTGTATGCATTGAGATGGTTTGAAGAATAGCTTTAAGACCACCAGTCACTGCATCTGCTCGATGATGTTTTGAGATTGGTGTGCAAACATCCAAGGTGGTCTTCTGAGAAAGATAAGCAGGCAACATGTCAAGTTCACCTTGAGTAAACATCGGCTCCATTGCCAGTGACTGCTCCATCAGACATCTCTGAACGCTTGAGTGAAAAGTTACAAAAAAGCTGAGAGTGGATGGAGCAGTCACTGGAAATAAAGCTGATGTTTACTCAAGGTGTGCTTTTATGTTGCCTGCTGATCTGTCACGTTGTGAGAACCTGGGATGGAATCATGCCAGAACTAAAATGTTACGGAGCAGAAACAGTGACAATGGCCTTAAAGTGATTATTCTGTAGCCTATTTCAATGCAACAAGGAAGCAACACTTTTTGATCTCCATCAGATAAGCAGAGAGGACTGCAGAAGAAAGTTCAGTGAGAGTTTTAGGTATTGCTCTTAAGAAGTTGAAAGTGAAGAATCAAACTGCCATCGTCATCAAGATCGATGCTTCGTGTAAGAGTCAGGCCACTGGAATTTCTAGCTCATTATAGTCCACTCTGACTGGTCCAGCCCTACCTGGAGAAGCCAGGGGTTCAATTTGGAACCTTCTGCATGCAAAGCTCACAAGGGGTGCTACTCACAAGGATGGCAAAATGGCCTTTACCATATTGTTCGACCCCATCATGTGGTGTTTAAAATAATCACGCACCTGTATGTGGGACGCGGGTGGCGCTGTGGGTTAAACCACAGAGCCTAGGACTTGCCAATCAGAAGGTTGCGGTTCAAATCCCTGCAACGGGGTGAGCTCCCGTTGCTCAGTCCCTGCTCCTGCCCACCTAGCAGTTCGAAAGCACGTCAAAGTGCAAGTAGATAAATAGGTACCGCTCCGGCGGGAAGGTAAACGGCATTTCCGTGCGCTGCTCTGGTTCGCCAGAAGCGGCTTAGTCATGCTGGCCACATGACCCGGAAGCTGTCTGCGGACAAAAGCCGGCTCCCTCGGCCAATAAAGCGAGATGAGCGCCGCAACCCCAGAGTCAGTCGCGACTGGACCTAATGGTCAGGGGTCCCTTTACCTTTACCTTATGTGGGTAGCCTATGCATTGATCAAATTAAGCTCAATCCCAAATCCACCAAACAGATGAAACAGACTTTCTAAAGAAAATCGGATGTGTCCTGTGAAAGAGGCAGGAAAAGGGAAATCTCTTTTCATTGCGATGGACTAACTCTTTCTTTTAATGGTTCATAGAAAAATCCCCCCACATTTCTATCAGCCACTATTGCAAGGAAGGGATGAGATTTTTGTTGGGACTGTCCCCAGGGTGAAATGGTGAACCCCCTCTCAGTGTTATGATCCCAATCCTGATAGGCGCCCAGGGATGTTATTTAACAACAACATAAATGGGAGACATCGGGCGCATTTTGTGTACCATCTATTTTGGCTCTGAGATTACAAATTTAGGACTTAACACGTTGAAATGACCAAGCTCTTTAAAGAGACGTGCAACATCTTGGATAATGTTATTCTTTACTCACCCATGCTTATAGATTTTAAAGAAACTTATTTCAGGAACCACCTAGATTTAAGGATATTAATTATGAAACATATTAAAATTGCCCATTTCCTGCCACATGCAGCTATACTATACGATTTAGATGTACAAGCTTTGCTTTATTTAGCTTTCTAAAATGCTTTGCTTGGTGCTATAACCCAACCCTTGACTTTGAAGTCATTCATCAAAAAAACTGCCGTCATTCATCATGTACAATAAATCTGCCAGAGGTCTGGCAACCCGCTCTTGAAAACGATCTTATACTCACAAAAGAACAAGTTAAAAGGGGGACATGAAACCAAAAGATGTGTCCCATCAGGTAACTATGGAGCAAGTGGCTTTGCCTTTTCATCAAAGCTCTCCTTATGAAAGGCTAACCGCTTTCCCAATCAAGCAGATCCTTTAATTGGAAAGAAAAAAAAACAGCTAATGAAGACACCCTAAGCGTCTCCCGCAGAAGGAATACTGGCCAATTCCTGAAGACAAAGCGACAGGGACACTCTGTTTTCCACAGCAGATGTGGAACAGCCCACGGATGCTTAACAAGGAGCACGAAAGGAAGCCAAATTCTGAAGTTGTTCTCTGGTGATTTCACTTACGGAAGCCTTCCAAAATAACAGAAGTTGGCTGGCTTCAGATTTGCACGGCCTGCTGATTTTCTTCTTCTTCACTAAGATCTCTGTCCTCAATTAACACAACTTTGAATTAACACAACAGCCAACTCACACATCCAGGATCTTTTCGCAGTAACCAGCCTGCATTTTCAAAGGGAAGCTGTCCAGCTTGTTGCAGCAAAGCCAACATTTGTGGTGGCCCTTTGTGGAGAACGTCCCACTGAAGTAAGACATGCTTCTGAGTAGATATGCATAGAGTTCTTTTCTTAAAGATTAACATTTATTATAGCAATAGTTTTTTTTAACGGACTAAAGTTAACTTCACAGACTTGGATCAAGTTCACTCATTACGTTGAATTAAATAGATGAGTTTTGAATAAATGTGCAATTAATTGCTACTGCTTTGGATTTTATTGTTGCCGCCTTCCTCACTGGGTCCTGCAAACCGCTATTCTGAATAATGTTTGTTTTAATAGTGTGACCACTTTATGGAACCAATGGGGAACTGGCCCAAAAAAGTTTGAGAACCACTGGTCTATAGGTTCAAGAAACATTAGTAGTGATTTCAGGGAAGAGCTTTGCTTGCTTTTCAACACATCAGCCCTGACCATTTGGCTCTACTGCCCTGGGGCTGAGGAGAGTAATAACGGGAGGTGGGGCACGTCCAACGAAGCCTGCAAATCACAGGTACTCATTCAGCACTGGACAAGGGATAAGCCCAAGATAAATGGAGAACCTCAGAAAGTGTTCAATAGAGCTTTCCAAACTTTTCATGGTGGTGACACACTTTTTAGACATGCATCATTTCGTGACACAGTAATTCAGTTTTAATTGGAAACTGGAGGTCAAACTAACCCCTTTCCAACCCCAGGAGGAGTGCGGGGAGCAGCGGCGTATTTAGTAGCTTGGGCACCCAGGCGGCTGGGGGCAGGGCAAGCTGGGGCAAAGGTAAAAAAAGGTAAAGGACCCCTGGATGGTTAAGTCCAGTCAAAGGCAACTAAGGGGTTGCTGTGCTCATCTCTCTTTCAGGCCGAGGGAGCCGGCGTTTGTCCACAGACAGCTTTCTGGGTCATGTGGCCAGCAAGACTAAACTGCTTCTGGTGCAACAGGTCACCATGATGGAAACCAGAACGCACGGAAACACTGTTTACCTTCCTGTCACAGCAGTACCTATTTATCTACTTGCACTGGTGTGCTTTTGAACTGCTAGGTTGGCAGGAGCTGGGACAGAGCAACAGGAGCTCACCCCATTGTGGGGATTCAAACCACTGACCTTCCGATTGGCAAGCCCAAGAGGCTCGTTGGTTTAGACCACCGTGCCACCTGCGTCCCAGCAAGCCAGGGCAGGGCAAGCTGTAGGGTGGTATCCTGAGAGGCAGGCGGTGGGCAGATGCAAGCAGTACACTGTCCTTTCGGGCAGGTGCCTCAGCCACAGCATCACTCCCTGGAGAGACGTGTAGCTCGGGCATGCTGCAGGCCCCAGGGTAAGTGCCACCCCCCCCCCCGCAGTGTGGCACTCAGTGTCCCCCATCCCCCTCTGGCGAGGAGCGTTTGCACAACACACCTACACACTGCAGCCGACACACAAAGTCGTGGGCGGCACACAATTTGGAAAGCTCTGGTCTACAAGCTGGAGAAACATTCCTAGAATGGGTGTTACCAAGGGGGGAGGCAGGGAGCGGCAGCTGCCCCCCAAAATCAATAAAAATACATAGCAAACTGAGGTTCTGCCCCCATCCCTAACGAAAGACCTTCCCATCCCCAACAAAAATCCTGACTCCTAGTCATTTCTGAGAAAGGCTTCCTTTGCCTTTCAATCCGCTCCTCCGCCCGTCGAGGGCGTCTCTCTCTCTCTCTCTCTCCCCTCGGGGGAGTTTCCCCGCGCGCCAATGGGCGTGGCAACTAGAAGACCACGCCCACACGGTGTAGACCCCGCACGACGGGCACAGGAGAGGTTTCGACTCTGGCCGTCGGGTCCCTCCAGTCTCCGACGTGCGCCTGGCGCGCAAGGACGCGCGTCTCGCCTGCTCCATGGCGACTGGCAACTCCCCCCTGCTGCCTCAGCCGGCGCTGTCTGCCTCGTCGTCCAGGGCGCCCAGGGCGCCCCCTTCTTCTCCGGCGCTGCCCGTGCCGTCGGGGGTGCCCATGCCGCCTTCTTTCCTCCGCCCGCCGAGCCTCTTCGTGCGCGCGGCGGCGGCTGCCGTGGCGGCTGCTGCCGCCGCCGCTGCCAGCGCCGGCCCGTCGCCGTCGGGGACAGCGGCGGCGGCGGCTGCCGCTCCTTCTCGCGGGCGTCGGGGCTGGAGCGCGGCGGCGGCTACCCTCGCACGCCCAAGTGCGCGCGCTGCCGCAACCACGGCGTGGTGTCGGCGCTCAAGGGCCACAAGCGCTTTTGCCGCTGGCGGGACTGTGCGTGCGCCAAGTGCGCGCTCATCGCCGAGCGGCAGCGGGTCATGGCCGCGCAGGTGGCGCTGCGGAGGCAGCAGGCGCACGAGGAGAGCGAGGCCCGCGCCGGGAGCCAGACGCCGCCGCTGCCGACGGCCGTTGCCCTTCGACGGAGCGCAGACGGACCGGGGAGCGCGAGCGCAGGAGGGGAGCCCGTGCGCCACGGCCACTGCCCGGAGGTCCCGCGCGGACGAAGAGGTGCGACTGCGGGGGTGATGGACGGCGGCGGGGTCGGGTGGGGACAGGGATTGATGCTGGGCGGGGGGGGGGCAGGATTAATGTGGGAGGGGGAGGCAGGGCACCAACCTGTCATCATCCTCTGGCTCTGTCTAGCAGATTCAGAACGAAATGCCTCAATAATAATGCATCTACAGTGTTCCCATGACACTCCCAAATACATAGCATCATATGTACAGCATCATACAGTGGTAACCTCGGGTTACATACGCTTCAGGTTACATACGCTTCAGGTTACAGACTCTGCTAACCCAGAAATATTACCTTGGGTTAAGAACTTTGCTTCAGGATGAGAACAGAAATCGGGCTCTGGTGGCGGGGCGGCAGCGGGAGGCCCCATTAGCTAAAGTGGTGCTTCAGGTTAAGAACTGTTTCAGGTTAAGAACAGACCGCCGGAAGGAATTAAGTACTTAACTCGAGTTACCACTGTATATTGAAGTTGGATTCCTAAACATGTTGAAGGTTGGGCCATTAGCCTATCATTAGGAAAGCCATAATAACTAGCACAGTATGCAGTATTACTGAAAACAATGTGTAGTATATTTATTATGGCATAGTGCCAGAAGTTGCTATTCTCTATCAGTGATGTAAATTACTGACATTCAACTGAATATTGTTTAGGCCAAGTAAGTTGGATCTTAGAGGGTTGCCATATTTCAAGAAGTAAAAAATCCGGACCACAAAATTGTTGAGTTTTTTGTTTATTACAAACCCTACTATATGTCCCTCGTACAGGAAATCGTAGCGGCTAAAGGTGCAAACCACCAGGAATTTCTCTAGTAGGAACTACATAAAAATAAAGTGGGAATGCTATTGTCTTCTTTTGCAGGCAATGGGAGCTGGTATTAATAATTTTTATTATTTGCAAGGCAGATTCTCTTCCTTGGTTTAGTTTTTTAAAACTGGCAAAACCACGAGTTGTTACTTGTGTAGATCTCAGTGGGTATTTCATGTTTCAGGTTTATACTTCCAGCTGCAGTAAGAGCACAGGTTGCATGGCTGTATGTGTGGGAAGCCCTGCTTGGGTGTCTTGCCATATGTGCAGGATAAATGGATACAGTGCTGGGCCAATAAATGGTAGTTGTGTAGAAAATCCAAGATGTGTAAGTGTGGCTGTGCTCCTAGTGCTATTAGCTTAATTCTTAAGTATGTTAACTCATGAATAGAATTTCCAAAGGGATTGCATTGCATATATAATGCTAGTAAAAAAGAGAGATGTGTGGTCACTTTAATTCCTCTGTATCAGGGGTGCCCAAACTTTTTTCAAAGGAACCTGCGTGAGGGCCAACTGAAGTTGTTGACCTTTTTTAAGGATTTGAGCTGTTTTTCGGATTTTACCCCAGGAGATAAACTGCCGGATTAGGCCCCTGAGACGGGCTTTGGACATGCCTGCTCTATATGATGCACAGCTGTGAATACAGAAGGGGGAGGTGAGAGAGAAGGAGGGAGACATGGATATTGGATGTGGCTTATAAGCTCACGAGTATTTGATTCCATGTCTAATTTTCTTTTGCAGAAGAGAAGATTCAGAAGTACGGCTTTCCCTACAGTGAACCAAGAAGCTCTGCAGCCTACTTGCAGATACCTTCCTTGAAGTCTTCCCCTGAAGCTACTGGAGACCATAAAGAGAACTCTTCTGGTCCACAGATTTCAGGTAAAGAGATGACCATTTGTCCTTCAGGTGCCGACGACTCGTTAAAAGGCACCGATAGTTCAGCATCTTTGTCTTCGTCAGACATGGAATCAGGGAATGAAAGCGAGCGTCTCAAGGACTTTGTTGCTTCCACTTCCAGCATCCCTTCTCCTCCTCCTCCTCCTCCTCCAACTTCTAGCAGTTCAAGACGCAGAGACCCGCTTGATATCCTTACCAAGGTCTTTCCAGATCACAAGCAAAGCAGATTAGAGAGAGTCCTGCATTTCTGCAGAGGAGACATAGTCCAAGCTATAGAGCAGATCCTGAACGTGAATGAACAGAAGCAAGAACTTGCAACCTCACCATTGCCAGGATGCAGCGTCCTCCAGCGAGCCTCTGATTTTAGCCTCCTAGGAATCGATGTCAGGGCACTTGGCAATAAATCAGCCTTTTCTCCTCTACAAAGCAGTCCAGCTTCCTTTGGGAATGAGGCGAATCTTTATGGTCTAAGCCCTAGACTGGGGATTGGACCTTTGAGAGTGGCATATTCCCCACCTGGGAGAGCCTTACCTGGAATGATGCCATCCTACCTTAGGACAGGACTGTTTCCTGCCTTGCCTTTCCACCCAGCAATGGACTATTCCTTTTCAGGAATGATCAAAGATGCATCTTACTTCCCCAATAAAGACGCAGTTGTCAGTAGCAAGATCTACACTAGACTGAACGAAGAACACAAATAGTATATTCATCAAATCTTGATTTTTTTTTTTGGTAGTACTTATTTAAATGGGTTGTCATTGCTTTTGGACCCTGTGGCTTGTATCCACTGCAGCTCTCAAGTAGCTGCCGCATCAGCACAAGGTTTTCAAGGGATGCGGGTGGCGCTGTGGTCTAAACCACTGAGCCTCTTGGGCTTGCCGATCAGAAGGTTGGCATTTCGAATCCGTACAACGGGGTGAGCTCCTGTTGCTCAGTCCCAGCTCCTGCCTACCTAGCAGTTTGAAAGCACACCAGTGCAAGTAGATAAATAGGTACCGCTCCGGCAGGAAGGTAAACACTGTTTCCGTGCGCTCTGGTTTCTGTCACGGTGTTCCGTTGTGCCAGAAGCAGTTTAGTCATGCTGGCCACATGACCCGGAAAGCTGTCTGTGGTCAAACACTGGCCTGAAAGCGAGATGAGTGCCGCAACCCCATAGACACCTTTGACTAGACTTAACCATCCGGGATCCTTTACCTTTTTACAAGGTTTTCACTTGTGCAATGGGACTCCCCCACCCCTTCTCCTCCTTCCCAGCACACCGTTTAAATCTATTCTGGGTTCCCCCGCAACCCTCTAGAGCAAATTTGGGGATGGCACAGGGGGAGCAGAAAGGAAGAAAGTCCCGTTGCACAAATGGAAATCCTTGTGCTATTTGATGGTTATTTAGTGCTGCTCTGGATACAAGCCCAAGTTCCAAGAAGTGCCTTCTGCTAATGAAGGGCGAATAAGCAAAAAGGAACAAAGAATCTTGTGGCAACTTAAACTAGCAAAGTCCCTTTAGTCTTTTTTGCTGCAACAGACTAACACTGTTACCCCTCTAGCTAATCAGTAGTTTCTAACGCTTTATTATTATTATTTTTAAAGAAGGATTTAATGGGATTCGTTATTTTGACATAAAACAGATTGAAAGCTGAGAAAAATCCAGAATACCAGCTGTTAAGAGATAATTTAAAATCAGCACTGATTTTAAAGATGAGCTTTTGTATACATATTTTCCATGTTTATACTTTTGGGGAAGACAAAAATAAATAAAGTGACATTGAAGAGGTTGTGAGTGAAGATCCAAGTTGAAACGTGGAAGAAATCCAATGCATATTTGCTGTTGAACTCCCTGTTGTCTTTTCCCTAGATATTTGATATGTGCAGTGTTTTTAAATTGGAATATTTTCCCCCAAATACAGACACTTGATTCAAAAAAAGGATCTTAAATGTATGGTTATTGGGAGCAGTGCATAAGCACTCTTTTATATTGTGGGTTTTGGTTCCCAGGCATGAAAAAAAAATACAAGAATGGCCTGGTTTGGATGTAATGCTCAGTTTAGGTTTAGCATTGTGGGAATCAGCCTCTTTTGGTCCTCTTTCACTTCAGTTTTAACTAACTTCAGTTTAGGTATGAGTCTGAACCCTCAGCTGGTTAATCTTCCAGTTGGTTTCTTTAAACAAGACAACATCATAGACCATGGTCTGCATTTGACATGTTTTAGCAAACCATTGTTAAGACTAACCACCGTTTGTTTAGGTGTGAACATAACACTAAACTGCAGCTAGTTAAAAACAAAACTTAAGTCTTCCGATCTCCTTTTCTCAGTTGTGCCAGAGGAGAGAGGGTAGGAGAGAACTAATGAGGCCATATCATATTTCATCCAAATGCAGCAAGTGTGCTAAGCACTATTTATACAGTCAGAACAGGATCTGAAGGCGCATGAAGAATTTCTGCTTCCGAAGCTTAGCATGTATAGCCCAGTAAGCTGCCTGGATAGAAACCATGTCTGCTCAGAGTTGCTTTCAGATAAGTGTGCCATGCCTTAAATGGCTGATGAATGCAATGATAGGGAGATTTGAAATGGGTAAAAGTGACTGCTCTGATTGTGCGGGATAGGGTGCAGTTAAAAAAATGGTTTCTGCTTGCGTAATTGTGTAGGGTGGGGAGTTATTTGAGCATTTGGCAGAAACGTCTATATACTGTAAATGCCTAGGTCCAAAATTATGACATTACAGAAGTGAATATTGTCAATGACTGTTAAAGGCTATACAGAGAATATACTGTACTTGCAGAGTATTCATGTTCAGGGCTGGATTTCGGTTTGATGAGGCCCTAAGCTACTGAAGGTAATGAGGACCTTTATATGTCCAGCTGTCCTTTGCCAACAACAAATTGTCACTGTTTTTGTGTGAATATATGGTAATTTATGGACCTTGTAGGTATCTAAAGCCATTTGCACATAACAAAATAGGACCCTACACAACACGCAACACTGTTGCTGTATGTAGGTTTTGTTTTATTATTTTTTATCTTATATTTTGGAAATGTACATCCAGTTTTCTTCCTTTAAATTTTTTTGGGGGCCCCCAAGAGAGTGGGGCCCTAAGCTATAGCTTGTTTAATTTATACATAAATCCAGCACTGTTCATGTTAAGGGATTGTCAGGACTCTTTGGTGAAAGCAATCAGTTTTCTGCATTTTTGGCGTTCACTCTGTCATCCATACAGAGAGATAAAGAGATAGTAAGGCCTGCAAAAGTTACTTGAAAGTAAAATATATGCACATAAGGAATCTAACCCATCTCCAGAGTAGGATGAAAGCCATCTCTCCATCTATGGTGATTTCCCAGGGTGTGATAAAAAAAGAGGTTTTATGAAACAGACTAAGCATTTTTGTTTACAATGCGTTTTGAAAAAACAAATCTCTTTATCGTGTTACGTGTACTACATCTTACATAAGCTTTTCAGACAAAGATCAGGGACACATCCTTGTATGTTCTGTGTCTCTTAAAGAGCTTGAAAAAGTCAGTGGAATAGTTTGTGCAGGGGTATTCATGAAGCTTGCTTATTTCCCCATCTTTTCTGTCTATTGAAAAACTAAAATAAAAATAAAAATAAAACAACAGCCCACTGGTGATCTACAGGCTAGAGCTTTCTTATGTTTGAGCAGAACTTTGTTATGGAAACTTTCACTTAGTGGTGGCGATGTATTAGCAATATTTTGTTCATCTGTCTCTCCCTCCCCTATAAAATCATTTGCAGACAAACTGATTCTGGGACTGAATTTCATGTGTAGCAGAATAGCTACCATGCTGTCATCTTAAAGTCAGGCCTCCTGGGGTGTAAACAAGTCCAGAATATGGTGTTTCTCTTACCCACAGGGCACTTCATGTTTACGGAGAACCTAGGATTAAATCTCTTTATATTCCTACGTTTATATCCCTATTCACAAGTTTTGCTCTGACTTTTTGGGCCAGTTGAAAAATGTGGGTTATTAACCTGAATATTTGGTCCTGGTGTACAGCTGTTGTGATACATTTATTAAACTTCGTCATGAATGTCCAGATTCCCCCTTACACCGTGGACTTCTTCATTTCATAGCTCTGTGGAAATCTTCCTTTAACCGAATTAGCTTCTAAAGCCAGCGATCTCCATCTTGTGGCCACTCACATTCATTGCAATTTAAGAAACCAATGAAATGAGGTGTGTGTGTTTTGTTTGACAAGCAAACCCAAACCAATAAGAGCTGGGATTATATTTTTTGATCCAGTTAAAGTTAACCACAGACAAGAATTGGTAGCCATTAGTTCAGCATTTTATCCAGAAGGGTAAACCTTAGCATGGTTAAATATTACATGCAAAGGATTGGAACAAGAGTCTATTAAATGCAAAGCTCCTTGAGAAATTATAGCAATCTTTATTCTCACAAAACTATCTTAGCCTGGTGATTAGTGATGCATTTTATAAATATTAGGAAAAATAACTTGTTGAACTCCCAACAGGATCGATCCGTCTATGGACGTATATTATGAACATATTTAGACAATGGCTTATCCTGAAAAAAATAGCCTGAAAGCATTCTTAGGAAGGGAAAATCCCAAATTGAATGAGTTTGATAAAAAGAAAAGCACATAATCAAGGGCCTCTTCCTTCTCCCCACATTGCTGTCGCTTTCGGTTAAAACTGACAGTTTATAAACAGTACCATGGTCAGCGCCATCGTCTGGCTGAAACCTGCCTCTTATTTCTCTGCAAGCACTTCCCCCTAACGTAAGTGGGAGAAGGAAGTGAGCAGGGAGTTGCAGTGAGGATAGTTTAAGTCTCTGCATGTATGAAACAAATGCAACACAACAGTCTCCGCTCTCTTAAATTGCTTAAACGTGAACCATATTTCAGGCATTGACTGTTATAGCGTAAGCCCTTTTTTACAGATGAAGCAGAGAAATCTGGAGAGGAATCCTAGAGCAGGGTCCCGAAAAACCCAATTGGGTGTCCCACCTGTCAGGTTTTGTGTTTGATTTCCAGATCAGTTAAGAGATGGCCTTGCTGTCTACTGTGACGAAAGGGGTCATTTTCCTCCATGGCATAGTCTACCTTTGAACAGCTCTCTTCCAACTGGTTCTAACTATAGTGTTCTTAAAAAGTATAGACATCACCTTGTGATGTCTCTTAAAAGTAGAGACATCACCTTGCCAACAAAGGTCCGTATAGTAAAAGCTATGGTTTTCCCAGTAGTGATGTATGGAAGTGAAAGCTGGACCATAAAGAAGGCTGATTGCCGAAGAATTGATGCTTTTGAATTATGGTGCTGGAGGAAACTCTTGAGAGTCCCATGGACTGCAAGAAGATCAAACCTCTCCATTCTTAAGGAAATCAGCACTGAGTACTCACTGGAAGGACAGATCCTGAAGTGGAGGCTCCAATACTTTGGCCACCTCATGAGAAGAGAAGACTCGCTGGAGAAGACGCTGATGTTGGGAAAGATGGAGGGCACAAGGAGAAGGGGACGACAGAGGACGAGATGGTTGGACAGTGTTCTCGAAGCTACCAGCATGAGTTTGACCAAACTGTGGGAGGCAGTGGAAGACAGGAGTGCCTGGCGTGCTCTGGTCCATGGGGTCACGAAGAGTCGGATACGACTAAATGACTAAACAACAACAACATAGTGTTCAAAACTGGAGCGATGGTTCACACCAAGCTGGTGCAGGAAATGCTACAGC